ACATACCTTTTGAATCACCTCCATTTTATATTACCGGTCTATTTTCCTTTTTACATGTCTCTTTCAAAATTATCAATAAGAAGATGATTTTTTCTAATTTATTACTCCCTCCGTCCCTTTTTAGTTGTCCACTTTAGAAATGACACACAGATTAAGGCAATAATGATTAGCACAGTGAAGTTACAATTTTACCCTTATGACAACTTTTCACTTCAAAATTACAACCACTTATTTGAATTCAAATGAAATAAATTGGAGGGAAACAACATACACTTTTACAATTTTCAAGAAGTGTAAATAAGGGTATAATAGGAAAAAAATTGTTGTCCTTTCTTGATTTGTCAAAATGGACAACTAAATAGGAACAACTAAAAAAGGAAATATGGACAAGTAAATAGGGACGGAGGGAGTATTTATTTTTTGTTTTCTTAAATGTATCTTGTTTATGTGTCTTATTTATCAATATCAAGATTAATAAAAAAAAACTCTCTTGAAATCTTACAATATTTATATTTTTAAATAAATTAATTTTAAGTGCAAAATGAGAACGTTTTAATTAATTCTATCTTAATTATATAAATTAACAAACAATTTGAGATATAAGTGCGCTAAATAATTGTCCTTTCCTCGTATGCATTTGAGTACTCAAGGTCCCCTTTCTTTTGGCGGGTATCGTCATGTGGCTTAATCCCAGATCACTCCTTAAAGAACAAGACATAATAATTGTAACACCCCTACTTTTAAAAACGTCTTAATTAACTCGTATCTTCGTAGAAAGACAAGGAGGGTGAGTAATAAATTAAAAATGATGTGTTATGTGATATTTTAAGTGTTCAACTGTGGTATCTCAAGTTTTGAAGTTAGGTAAGTGACAAAATAAAAGTTGGCGAAAGTTACCGTAAATTCCTTTTTAAAGATTTGTCTGAAATTTGAGTCAAATGTCTCGGACGTTTTCTCCCAATCTATTAAGAGTTATGGTTCCCGCGAATTATGAAATCGAAGGTCTACGAGTCTAGTTTCCAACGCATCAAACCGTTCGTTCATACGACTTCAGAATAGAGAGATATTCACATTTTCGTAGGACTGCGCAAGCAGGCACGTGAGGTGGGGCCCTAAGTCGGTGGAATGTTACATATATCTTCTTCTTCGACCTTTTTCACCATTTTAGGCTAAAATTCAGAGAAATTAGAGAAACCCATTTCTAGGATCAAGTGAAATATAGATTTTCTCGACTTAAGTCCTTGACGAAAGTTGTTCTACGCGTTGGGCTCATCATCGTGGTATAATTTGTTTTATCGATTGCGTAGCATATCACATTTTAGTGTTGGGACAGCAAGGGTTTGGATATATTTGAAGGTTTTGAAGCGTATTACGACCTTAAGATCGAGGTAAGACCCTTCTTTCATCGACTCTAGCTTTTATAAGCAGCAAATAACAATTTGCAACGGAAATACATATATTTTATCGTATTGTCATGGTATCTTTTATTTTTGTGTGTTGATTATGGTCCTACCTTGTTGTAGTATCGAGGGAGTATTGAGTAAAAGTCATTAGGCCATGTGAATTTAGCGAAAAAGGTATGTAAGACTATTCCCTACTTACAACATGTTTCCTTAAAGCTTAGAAGCAATGTATTTGGGTTGTTATCATTGATATACTTGTAGCCGTGATTGTTGATTGTTGATTGTTGGCTGCTCGAGTTGATATAATTATCCCTTGTCGGGATTCTTATTCAGTTAGTAGCGTCCTTATGTTGGACACGACTTAGAGGCTATTTGTATAGGTTGCTTATAACTAAATTGCTCGATTTTAGCGGTTGGATTGTTATTATTGTTGTTGGAACTATTGTGGTTAGCTGCAGGAATGTGATCTATGCCTAGAAGGGTTATGTTCTGCCTACATGGATATATGGATGCCTAACAGGGCTATGAGTTGCCTACAGGGTTATATTGACACCTAAGAAGGCTATGTGCTTTCTACAGGGCCATGTTGTTACCTAAGAGGGCTATGAGTTGTCTATAAGCTATGTTGATGCCTAAGAGAGCTATGTGTTACCTACAGGGCAATATTAATGCCTAAGAGGGCTATGTGACTGCCTACGGGGCTAGGGGACTACTGATAGGGGTATATAGGATGATTGGCACCTTCCGGGCTTATGGGGGCCTAAGTAGGTGGTCTTGTGTGATGTTTGTACCTGCCGAGCTTATTGGGGCTTGGTTAGGTTGTTGTTTTATTATTTTTGATAAGTTTAGATTTATGAGCAGATCAATACACTTATCTTAACCTTGATTTATTAATTGGATTATTCTAGTATATCAGGATACCTCATCATAGTCTATTGCCTTTCATACTCTGTACATTATTTTGTACTGACGCCCCATGGCCTTGGGGCGCTGCATTCATGCATGCAGGTTCTGACAAATGACTGAGTAGACCTCCTCAGCAGCATGATTAACTTTTATCTGGTTGGCTAGCCCCTTTCTTTCGGAGCTGCCAAAGTTGGGAGGTTTGTTACCTTTTGTTTTATATATCTTTATGGGTAGCCTGGGGTCCTGTCCCACCAATCTTTACTACTCTTAAAGGCTTGCAGACTAGTGTGTGGGGTTTATAGCTACGTTATGGCCATGTTGGCCTATGTTGTTGGTTTGCGGAAGCTTGTGAGTTGTTTGATGTATTGTATTGATATATACCTGCTTTTAGTTTTGGTATAGATATCATGGTGGCCTCGACGGCCCAATCAGTACTTCTATGCTAGTTGACTATTTATTTATATGATCTCCTGGGAGTAACTGTTTCTTTTATAGATCAGTTGACAGGGGCCTTGTCGGCCGATGACTTAGTTTTAAGTCGAGATATACTTGTTTGATTTCTTGATTGCGTGTGGCTGTCATGCGCTAGTAGCAAATGGTTCAGCAGGGTCGGCTCGGGCCTGAGTTTTGGCATTATGAGCCAGTTGTGCCCCTCGAGTTTGGGGCGTGACAAACAATAATATAGCGCACATCAAAGAAAAGAGTGGGTGCTTAGGAGCAGCTCAAACAAAGAAGAGTTTGGTCCGGTCTGAATTCAGGCAAGATCCGCTCGTTTGCGGCTAGGTCCGAAAATGGCATCGGACGAGGGCGTCGTTATGCCCCTTAATGAATCAAATGGTCCTTCCACCTTGACTAACTAGCTGATGCTGCCTTTCCACTTTCCATGAGTCAAAAAATGTAACGATAGCTAATATAACTAGAGAGTTAAGGCGAAATACTTGTAACGAATAAAAAATGATTTCACTTGGGTGTTTGTAGTAGAGGACAACCAATCCTCTAACTACAAGCTACATCCTGACCACCCTCCAATTTCTAGAATTTTACCTTGAGGGTGTATGTGCTTAGATGCACCTAAGTTCTGATGACCTGCGTTTTTCACCAATAATGGTTAGTTGGCCCCTTACTATAGATAGGGTGTTAGCGCTGTTTTTGAAATAAGGACGTTTAGGTTTGACTAATTAGATAGAAAAGGGGCAAGTCAAAACCCACTCTGCTGAATTCGGGTTGGATGAGCAACCTTCTATGTGACCTTTGTACCAATAGTAGAGTGACTTGCTACTTTCAATCAGAAAAGGAAGATTGAGCAATGAAAATGAGAAAGGAGTTGTCCCTCCTTCTCTGGTAACCCGCCGCCGCATATGTAGAAAAAAAAAGAGCGGAGAAAAAAGAACAATTGTTTTACATTGGGACATGAGGTGGCAGGTTTGGCTAGGTAACATAATGGAAATGTTTCGGACTGCAAATCCTGGACATTCTAGCCCTAGTGTACTTATCCACTAGCATTGAAGGAGAAGAATGACAAAATTTGCTTCCACAATAAGGATTACACATTTTAAATAATATAGACAAGTAATCTAAAATGGATCTGAGTATCTTTACTTTGCGAGAATACAAGGCGTCCCATGTACTCAAGGATTTGAAACAAATTTCTAATTCAATGAATGGATCGTTTTTGTAATTCGACAAGGCTGATGCCTCAGTTTTCCTGTCAAGCCACAACAAATTTACCCCCACTTCTCAAATGAAAAACACTTAGGGGCCGTTTGGTACAAAGATCAATAGTGCAGGGATTAGTAATGCAGAGATTAGTAATGCAGGAATTAGTAATGTACGGATTATGTTTTGTGTTTATCCTTTATACCATACAATTGAATTGACAAGACTCCCCATTATGTCCCTTTCTTCGTCATAATTAAGGTATTAGTAAAACAAAAAAGAATTCAAAACTGGTGTCTAATATTTTTCAGTATTTAAATCCAATAAAAATATACACTTGAGAAATAGTATAGATTATCCTTTGTCATCTCGATTACGACATATTTCTTTTTATAATCATGTATTGAACAGTTCGTTGTATATGGAGTATTCATGCCTTCCTTTCTATTTTCTTTTTAAAAAAATTTGGAAAAATTCACTTACTTGATTAATTTTTTTTTTGTCCATGTTGAGTTCATAAAGAACAAAAACAACTCTCTATCAATAAATTTTTTTCCTTTTGTGGGTCTTGCAGAAAATATCCAATGTCAGCCCAATCCTTTTGGAGCCCTTTCTTTTTTCCTCAATAAGAAAATTATACATACTTCATCAACATTAATCTCTTCAATATTCAATAGTTTCAAAAAAAATGATCTAGTTTAATTTGATACGAAGTTTATGAAAATAAAAATATATTTTTTAATTTTATGATTCTAAATTAAAATTATGTCAAATGTACCAAAATGTCATTTAATTTAATGATTTTAAATATGTCACGTAAAAATTGAAATTAAAATATTATCAGAAAAAGAAAATAACCATTATTTTTTAAACAGACTTAAAAAGAAAGTAAATCATTTTATTTTATAAACTGAGGGAGTACTAATTGATTAACTTAATTCCACTTTTGACAATGTCCATAATCTTTAATTAGTTGCTCCCCACTTACCTATTTCTTTTCGTACATACTAATTTTGTACTTATCCACAAGTTGACTTGTAAAATTTTGTTCATCTTCTGATTATATCGTTATTCATAAGGGCTCGATTGTTATAAGCGTGAAAATGAGCACGAAGGCCAACAAAGAAAGTAGAATTAAGAAGTGCATAAAAGCACCAATCCGAATTCTAATTAAAGCCAGGGATTGCTACGTCCGGAGCCTGACCAATTGTTCAGGCAGAATGGGCTACGGAAGTGCCATTGGCTCATGTCCTGCTTTTACACAAATCTCCTCTTTGCCCAGAAGTTTCAGTGCTAATTTATCTGCGTCTAGTGGTGATGATGATTTCAGGGAGCTGATGCGAATTTCTTCGAGAAAAAATCACGTGGAATTGGAGAGCGTGAGGCAAAAATCCATCGATAAAAAAGGGATGAATGTTATGCCTCGGACTCGTTACGTTGCTATTGGAAGAATTGATGAAGAAGAGCCCTGTGATTTTGGTGAGGAAGTCAGAGTGAGCACAGATGTTTATCCAAGAAGTAGAAGTTATGCTGTTTCTTCAGGATGGACAACGATGTCAGTTTGAAACAGAATCCAAAGTAAAAAAAATCAAAAAATTTGGCATCGTTTTTTTAATTGGGGGAAGGGGAAGGGGATTACAATGGGAACGTATCCTCACTAATAAGGTAAGGTGAAGAGTGCAGATAGTCGACCAACTAAACTATTAAGATTTCTCTTGGCATCAGTTGTTCAATCACCTGGATTGTAATTTGTGTTCTCTCTTCCGTTGTTATCTGTTTTTGCATAAACATGTTCAATTAATTAGCGCCGTCAGTTCTCCAGGTAATATACTGCTTCTTTCATTCTCTGGTTACCCTTCCTCTTAATGTTCATTTTTCTACATGGAGGTAAATTTTATTGATAATAATCTTGGAGAAAATATTAATCAAGGTTAAGACAAAATGTTAATGCTTACGATATATATACTAAGGATGATTTGATGATCTATCACCACTAGCTAGCCTTCATCGCACAATTTTGATTGTCAACTATCACCATCAAATAGTAACGGAACCAAAAATTTAAGTAAGGAAATTCAACAACTTATGTAGATAAGAAAAGGGTTCATTTTTATCTTATATACATCAAATTTATTTTTTTTAATAAAAAGGTTCAATTAAACTCTCTTGCAACTCAATGCCTCCACCATTTCACAACTATTGTCATCAGTTTGATTCACCAATCACCATCACCATCATCCATTACCTTTTAATTATCATCATTAATCACCACTATTGTCAACTGTCAACTGTCAACTGTCAACTGTCACTGTCACAAGCTTTTAGAGGTAGTTGATAAACAAACAATGTTTACGATCCCAATTAAATTAATATTTGGTAGATATACATTTATTTATTGATTATGTTGATTTATTTAAATATCTAATTATGATTTCATCTTAATCTTTCTAAAACTAAACGGGTTAAGAGTATTTTAATACTTCGGGATCTTCTTCGGTATTTAAATTGTTTAGGATTTCTAGGTCCAACAATTAAAATACACCCTCATAAGTATATCATAAGAATTAAGAAAGGCAACTTTAGTACTCTTTTATTAATCATAAAGTGCGTGTCTATAATACTCTCTATCCACTTAAATATCACATTAATTAACACCTACACTCATTGAAATAGTAAAATAAATTTTCAAAAGAAAACATAAAAGTTTTAATTTTGATTCTCTCCTTCATCGATCGAAAAATTAAATCAAATTAAGTAAATGAAAATTAAAACTATCGATGTCCATCCCTAAAAAATATGAGACTTCAAGAAAAAGAAAAAAAGAGTGGGTGGGAGAGTAAATAAAAGTCATGTGCCACCTTTTAATTAGAGAAGGAAAGTGACGGAAGAGGCTAGATATTTTTTGGGAGAAGTATTTGAAAACATGGAATTATTAATTTCATCATCAAATTATTGGTAGCCTTAAAAACACCTTTTTATTTGAATAACTTAACTTAAATACACCCCGATCTTATAACATGAGTGAAATATACCTTTAAATTCTTGCCAAATTTAGGGGTGTTGTCAACACTCCCCTTGATTTTATATTACGAGTTACATGTCATACAAAAGATTGAGACCATTTGCTATATCTTTTTGCAGATCGAGAGTGTATTTAAGTTCAGTTAGTCAAACATAGATGTATTTTTAAGATTGTCAATAATTAAGGATGAAACACAAATTTGTGTCATATTTTATTAGATGTTTTAGCTAAATTATTGTGAGCGGAGATAACACACTTTATTTTGTTTACTAATTAGTCAAGAATAGCCAAGTAATACATTTTGAAATGAATTAAGAAATCTAATTAAAATAAGTTTGAATTAAAATGTCAAAATAAAATTAAAATTAATTTAAGAATTTGTTTATTGGACGTTTAACTTCAAGCCTGGCATATGAGATGGCGAAGTGGAGGATAAAATCAAGGAAACACTCCTTAACTACACATACATCCCTACCATATATACTATATTTATCTCTAATTTAAAACAATTACACATATTATCACTTTTAATATTTATACCATATATTTTAAAATATTTAATCAGATACATAAATCCCTTAAATCTGATATTTCATAATTATCTTAAATTTAAACTTCTTAATTAATGATACATTAACAATTCAAATCCCCCCACCCCCCTCAAAAGTCCACCAACCCTTTTTTTTACTCCCTCTTTCTTCCATCTGCCGTTGCCCCCCACCCCAATTTCTTCTCCCTCATCATTTCATCTGTCGTTGCCCCCACCTAGCCCTCTTTATTCCTCCATCTTCTCTCTCTTTCTTCCTTCGTCCTCTTAATACATGTTTGCATGTTCAAATTAGCATTATACATATAGGTTTGTTTCTATTGTTTTATTATTCTCATTTATCTTGATTTTGTATCTAAGTTAAAGTTCATAATGCTCTGAAATTCAATTTTAAATAGTTTTACAATTTAAGTTTTATATTTTTTATTTTTGTAGATTCTCAAACACTTTTGTGGTTGGACATTCTCGAAATCGGATGATTCTTGTTAAAGGTACTGCACATTAACAATACTATACTAAATCAAACAACTTTTATTTGTTTATTTTTCACTCATGAATTTCTCGTTGCAGGGACTGATTATTCATCCGCCAATATTTAAGTCGAGAATAGATCTAATTATAGGAACGACCTAATCAAGATGGATGAATTTCGCCAAGCTTTAATTAACAGAACAAATACATCATTAGATACACATCAAGTGCAACAATGTTGAATACATATCAGGTGTATATTTATTTAGTTAAGACTTCATGTATCTGAGTTAAAAATATATGTATCTATGAGAAATAATTTCAGATGCCAAATTTGTGTGTTTCAATTACATTACATATTTTGATACACATAACTATATGTATATGCTTACTATGCATCCGAGATACATATTTTTGAATATAATGTATGAAACTGATACTTGATACATCAAATTAATACTAGATACATATAAAAGATACATGAAATTAAAATTAGATCATATAAACAGATACATGAAATTAAAATTAGATCATATAAACAGATACATGAAATTAATATTAGATCATATAAACAGATACATTAAGTTAATACTAGACACATATAATATAAACACGAAATTGATATTAGATACTTCTATGATACATATGAATGTACTTATATGATACTTATGTATCTAAGTGTTTAGTTTGTTGGATACATCATATATTGATAATAGAGACATCAAACTAATGAATTTATTATTTTAAGAGTAATAAAATGAGATTAATCAACCAATGGACAAGGACAACAATACAAATCAATGGGATTACTAGAATGCTGGACAAAATCAAAGTGAAGCACTGGGTACAATTCAAGAAGGAAATCATGGCAGCCATTTGTGGAGCAGTATTATATCATACCTGGAGAGCTAGGAATTGGAAGAAGTTCAAAGGGAGAAATGTTCATACAGAGGAGGTCGTTTTACAGATAAAAAAGGAAGTTATAGGAAGATTATCTTTACTTAATAAGTCTAAGCAAGCACACCAGTGTAGAGATTTTATTCAGCATTTACTTTGTAATTAGTTTTTGCTTGGTTGGAGGCCTATTTCTGTAATCAGAATCGGTGCTCTTTTAAGTTGTAATTGTTCTTGGTGGTATGGTAATCTTTTACAGTTGTTACCAAAAATAAAAAAAAATAAAAAAAATGAGATTAATCAAGTTAAATGATCAAGATATACATGTTTTCGTCTTTTATTAATAATATTGATGAATTTATTATTTCAAAGAATAATAATAAAAAATTAATTAAACATATATACACTCATTGCTTTCCGCCTTATATTAAGAGATTTGATTAATTTAAATTTCTATAATTAATTGTCCATGTAATATGAAAATCCTCAATTACTCCTCTAATTAAGGAAATCAGTTACAACTAATTAATTTAAACATATAAAATATGTATCTCGGTTTTAAAATTCGGCAGATACATGTATCTCGCGGATTCAAACCCATGTATCCTAAGCATGAAATATGGTAGAGAAAGTAATATTTGAAACTATCCGAAATCTTAGTAATTAAGACCTAAACTAGTGAGATTTATGTAGTTTGCCCTAAAATCAAATTTCATTGATACAAGTAACAATTTTATTACTCCGTAATAATATATCTTTCGGTCAGTTTTCGTGGGAATAAATATGTTAATTCTTCTACTACACCTATATGGGGTTTTTTATGATTTGGTTGGAGTCTATTTTATTTAAATTATGACCAATCAATTAGGTTGGTTTTTAAATGCAACAATTATTTTTTTATTGAGTAAAATTCTATCCCTTTTTTCTTTCAATTTTTATGTTTATCGGATTCTTTTAATAAGATTGATTAATTTATTAAATAATGATGTGATCGATCTCTTAGGAAATTTTTAATTGTGGAGTGATCTCATTTTAAAACAGGAGATTAAATTGTAAATAAAAGAATCTACATATCAAAATAAAAAACCTATGCCAATCAAATAAACTTTTTTTTTTCAACATCAAACTTTTTCGATAAAATGACTTCAATATACATCTCTAATTATTAAATGTCACAATTGAACAAATGAGTTAACAATTTCTTGCCAGTAATAATAGGAACAAAACAAATATATGCCTCTACTTACTAGATGTGTGAGCATATGTAAAATTATAATTTTTTATTTAGTACTATTTGAGTAATCGATTTGATTTGAATCTTGTTGGTTAAAATTTATGATTTTTTTTTTTATAAAAAAAATCAATTAAATTCTATTGGATTTGACTTATCGAGATTTTCCATGGACACCCCTTCTCACCTTCTTACATTATATATTTCGTATTCATATATATATATATATATGTTACTCTATTGTTCAAATAGCCACCACGATTAAATTTAAAAGATATAAATTGTTTAATTTTCAAAGATTGCTGACTTTGCCTTGCGCTGCTAAGTTAAGGTCTACCAGGCCTCTAGTAATATTTTTTTGGAATGTCCTTAAATAAATAGCAATTAGTTAGAAAGCGATCCCTTTTCCTCTTAATTATATTGGTCCTCTTTCTAATTAAATAAATCTCGACTGAGTTGGCCAGGCCACTGTCAATCATTTCATATGTTTTTTATGCAAATTTTTTTTTTTAGGAAACTACAAATGAATACTCCAACTGAATTTGTAATTCATTCATAGAGCTCATGTATGAGTTTATAACAACACATATCAAGAAGCAATCAACATTTCTTTTCAATCTAAGCTAAATTACAATTTATATAAGGCTATTCCAAGTTGTATCAAAACATCTATTTTTTTTATACATTACATAATTAGTTGCTTTCACATATTTCTACTTTTTAGTTAAATTAAAGTTTCCAAATTTCATAAATAGGCCATGAGCATTGAGCTATGTTTGACTTTAGACCTCTGCACTACAAAACTAGGAAGGAGAAATTCATTTTTACACCCTAGCTTATCAAGAAAATGAAAAGGGAGAGAGAAGAGTTACACCTCCACATATGAACTTACAAAAAAAAAAAAGTTCTAAAACAAATAATTTAGAGCTATACAAAATATTAAGAAGAGTTAGCCAGGTCAAAAAGAAGTTAATTTTTTTCATTCATATTTTAAGGTTAGACTTGCCAACTACAAAATTACTAAGTTATTTTTCATATATAATGACATGTAAATAGCATGCCCGGTTTGTATTTATCTGGCTGCGCAATTAATAGTCAATTATTAAGGATGAAAACAAAGGTGATTATGGATTAAGTCGTAGTAACTAGTTCTCCATATGTCATTTGCATAGATCTTCCACCAGAAATGACCAAAAATCATCAACATTTAAATATGGATTAAGTTGTAGTAACTAGTTCTCCATCACATATATCTAGTTGTATCAATTTGCCACTTGGAATATTTGACCTAAGTGACATGGGCGTTTGATCATGTTTTATTGTAAAATTTAATTTTAAAAAAAGTTCTTTATTTTAAAAGTGAAAAATAATATTTGAAAAATTATCTAATAGAAAATCTTGTCTCTCCATCCTACAACTAATTACAAGAATTTGTCCAAAACTATTACTAATAGCAACGTGAGAAAACAAAAATGTCGATTTCCAAATTTAAACGACAACTGACTCAAGAAATGGTTATGATTATCTTCTTTTAATTTTTATTATCTATTGTGAGCTTAAAGAAAATATGAAATAGACGTATTCTTCTCACATTGACAAGGGAAGTTTGAAAAAAGGAAAATTGTTTTGTTTTTTTCATTTTGCAAATCCAATTCCAAGACTTCTTATTAGTATTATATAATGTTCCTTTCTCCGTCGTCAATCGTCATTGACATTATTAGTAATACGAAAATTCAACCTATGCGTGTACTGTTTAACAAAATATTTACTTAAATTAATCATCATTGCCATCTCGATTACGGCGTGTATCTTTTTTAAATATATATTGAACATTAAACTGTATTTGACATGGTCCATACTTCAGCCATAATTTTATTCTTCCTTTCCGCTTAGTCATTATGAATTTTTTGGCCATCACGTCCCTCATAACCTGTTTATTTCGAGTAAAATATATCATCTTAGTAAGAAAATTTTAGTAACTCATTTAATTAATTATCTGAACTTTCACTTTATTGGTGAGTAGTCGCATCTTAATCTTTATATATTTTTTATCAGCCCAATCCCCTTTCGAACCCCTTTTAATAGCCAACGAACAAATTATAAATACTCCCACCAGTATAGTCTCTTCATTCATTAAAGCTTTAAACTGTTTTCTCCCCACTTGTTTATTTTCTTCTTATCAGTCCTTTTTTCTTGCATATCTGCCAATAATACTCAACATTCGACGGTTCAAATTTTCTTTATCAAATTTTGAAAATGAGCACAAATAAGGGTAACAAAGAGAGCAGAATTAAGAGGTGCATAAAAGCACCAATTAGAGTTTTAATTAAAGCAAGAGACTGTTACGTCCATAGCTTGATGGATTGTTCTGGAAAAATTGGGTATGGCAGTGTTATGGGTGTTCCACAAATCTCTGCTTTGCCGAGAAGTTTCAGTGTCAATTCATCTGTATCAAGTAGTAGGGACGAAGATTTCAGGGAGCTGGTGCGAATTGCTTCCAGAAAAAGTCTGGTAAACAAAATGGAAACAGAGTTTCTGAGGCAAAAATCAATTGCTAAAAATGTTGATTTGGTGCCTCGGAGTCGATCTGTTGCAATTGGACGAATCGATGAAGATAAGCCGTGTGATTTTGGTGACGATGTGAAAGTGAATACAGATTTGTTTCTGAGAAGTAGAAGCTGTGCTGTTTCTTCTAGAAAAACAGGGTTGTTCTGAAACAGAGGAAGAGAATTTGGAAGAAGGAAACAAGGCTTGCTGTTGTTAATTATCTGCTACACGGTTTCTTTGGATTGTTTTTGTTATGGTTTCTCTTTCGCTCTTGTTGCATATACATCTTCACTTTGCACTCAATTCTCTGTGTATAATGTTGTCTTTGGTTTCTCGGTTGCTTACTCAACTAATATAGTTATTAGTATCTCACAAATTCACTTTTTTCTTCATTTTAATTTCTTTAGTAAAAAAAGTGAATTTATGAGATAAAAACTATTAGTTGAGTAACTATCCCAGAAATTAATTCGGATAATGTAATGAATCTTCTTTTTCATGTTCTCCTGTTTTCTTATCAAAAAGTTCTTAATGACAAGGGCAGTCTGGTGCACTAAAATGGTCGCCAGGGGCAGACCTACATAAAGTCTGTCGGGTGCTCAAGCACCCATTAATCTCGTCTCGAAATATATATATCTAAATAAAAATTAGGAGGTATTTGTATAAAATTAACATAGAGCACCCGATGAATAAATGATCCATTGACTCTTGGATGGTGCTTAAGGCACTTTTACTGTTGTTGAGTTGTAGTCACTATGCGACGGTATCCGCAAGGAAGACAACAACTTTACTAGTTACTCTAAGACTCCCTTTAAAATGTCAGTTCTTAATTATTTTTTTTAAAATGTCTGTAAAAACTATAGTACTCTATTTGAATCATTAAAAAAAATAAGTATGTCATTACCAACCGGGCCTATATAATGTTGATTTAATTTTTCTCAATATTTGATTAAACAAACAAAGTTTAATTTCGTTTGGTACTATTATCTTTTCCTTTTAATTCGTACTCCATTGCCATTTACTTGAGAAAGAAATATTTGCGAGGTGTTAAGCAATGTTATGACACAAAGAATTGTAGTAAAGAAATTTGAACTATATTAATCCCCTCAAAAATGTTTGTTGGACTATATTTCCTCATTTATTACTGTAGTTAAATTAAATAAGATAATCAAGGGCAATCTTAAGTGATGTTGACAAAAACCTAGCAGGCAATGAAGTTTTTCATAGATATTAGGATTTAAGGATAGTTAATGTGGATATTAAAAAAATGTTAAATTAGTTAAACCACTTGATACGAGAGGAGGTAAGCATAATAAATTATGACAGGTGAAAAGTGGTTCGAGTTTAATTATGTGCAAATAACCTCTCTTAAATTACAGTAATGATTTTAGTTGTCCACTTCAATCGTCAGGGCTAAACCAACCAACCGATTTTTTATTTTTAAACAATAAATTCTATAAGGTATTGTCACTACTAGAAATAGAAACAGTGGTTTTCTCAACCGTAAATTAATAGAAATTTGTATCATAAAAGATAGCTATTCTATTTATTTGTCATTGAACTAGATCATTGAAAAAAAATACGGTGGAAAAAAAAATCACTGAAATATTAAAAAGCTTTCTAATTTTTCGTATGGAAATACTACTATTTTCTTCTTATTAATTCATCAATTAAAATATTTATAAAAATAATCATCAAATATTTTTCAATGAGAAATTTAAAAAATAGTGATTTTTCTAGTAGTGGTACTTGTCAGTTGTCCCACCTATGGCAAGTAGATATCTTGGCTTAAAAACTTTTGCCTACCTCTTGTTAGGTGACTTAATTCTATTTTTAAATATTAATCGAATTAATTTATAATCTTTGAGAAAATAATAGATTGACGTGCCGTTGCGCCAAGAGAAATGAGAATTAATTCACCTTCCTTTAGAATGTTTTTTCATTTTATTATGATTTTTATAATCTTCGAGAAATTTTTAGAAAGTGCTTTACACTGGCTTTCCAACTCCATTTTTATAGATTTCAAATAAAGTGTTACTATCTTCTCTCTTTAGCAAAAAAAAAAAGAAAGTTATAATTAAATATAATTTTATCTTCGACTTTAATTTGATAAATTTTAAATAAAACGAAAAATATTTGAATTCTATTGTCATGAAAGGCCTACTAAAACAAGTTTGTTGTTGTAACACCAACTAGAAAGAGCTAGAATTAAAAAGAGTGATTTTTTGGAAATAATGAAAATCTGAAAATTTGACAAAGTTAAGTTAAGAATGAGTTTTGGGTACACTTCAAACGACCATAACTCCTAGCTCGGGATGAGTTAGGTGTGCCAAAAGATACCATAGAAAAGATCTTTGAATTATCTTTCCAACGCCGCTGAGTTTGCTCAGTTTCGAGTTTGTATGACTGAAATATGCTCATTTGAAGTTAGGTTGTCTAGATAATGAAAGTCAAACCGCATTTTTTAAGGGAATTATGGTCTTTTCACCACCCAATTAATTAATTTCATTTTTGGTAATTAAGTTGGGGTCTAAACTGATTGGATTCAGTTTACGCTTTTGAAAATCAAGTTAGGGTTTTGAGAGAAGAGAAAAGAAGAAGAGAAGAAGCAAGGAATCACCAAGTTCTTGAATAATTGCTTATGGATTTTGTCAAGGGGTGATCCCTACGAGGTATGTGAGATCACATAGCGTTGGGTTAGTTCACCCGTGCGCCAATCATGATTTATTTCAGCGAATTTAGATTCTTAAAGGTTTAGAAATTGAGTTCTTGATGGATTTGTTTGAAGTTCTATTGGGTTCTTGATTTTTGGAGTTGTTGAGAAGTTCTTGATTTTGATTCATAAAATTAGGTGTCGTTTTGAGTAGATTTTTGCATATTTTGATTATGTAGTTGAATCTAAGTGTTTGGGGGAAAGACCCAATTGAGTTTAGAGGGTTTACAGTTGAAAAACAAGCAAGAAAAATCATCAAACACCTAAGCAGAGGGGTGGGGTGGGGCGCCACGCCATTCAGAGCTCCCCACAAAGTTCTCTGAAGTTTTGACCCTGAGGCGCCGCGCCAGCCAGCTCACCCCAACTTCAATTCTGAAGTTTTGGGTCTAGCGTCCCGCGCCACTCAAAGCGCCAGGGATGCCAGGTCTTCTACTTCTTTCCGTACTAGTTCCCTTGAACGTACCTATGTTTCTAGTTGAATTCTACACTCTAAGGTACGTCTAAACAACATGAAATCATCCATAACATGAGATCATGAACCTTGAATCCATAATTCAATTCAAGAAAAGTTAAAAGTCAAGTCGAGAAATTCTTAGAGTCTTCCAAAAGTCTTTTACAAACGTTTCAACTTTGTTTTAAGACTTGAGTTTTGAGTTTTGAGTTGAGTAAAGAGTAAAGATTGAAGTTTATTTCTTCAAAGAGTATGTGGGGACTATGTATTCCCAAAGAGTTTAAAATGTTTTCACATTTAAATAAGAAAGGAAATTGAGATTTCCAAAGAGACTTTGAGCTAGTTTTTTCAGAAAAGAGTAATTGTTTTCACAATTAAGCAAGAGAGGAAACTTTGTTTTCCAAGATAACCTTTGAGCAATTATCTCAAACCACAGAAAGAAGTATGTTTTTAAACATAAGAGCTAGTAATATATTTTGGGAGTAGTATTGAGCACCGATATGGGGGGAGAGTTCAGACAACTCCCAGCCCCCATAAACTATGTAGCCATTATGGGTAGAAAAGGGTCCTCGACAAGGTATAGGACGACTCTGGCAGCGTGAGGCAAAACGTTGTATCATCACAATAGCTCTTAAGTGATGGTTGTCGGTTAGAGAAACTCCCACAACAGTATTTTGTATTTTTATATACATTTCAGAGTTTATATTGTATCTTTGTATACATACAGAGTCACTATTGTATTTCTAAATACACGGAGTTGTTATCCATGTTTTAAAAAGCTTTTTTTTATATTGCACTTGTTTATTATTGCTTTATATTGAAATGAGTTCAGTTCAGTTGAGACCAGGTTTGTTCTTCAGTTCCTTTCAAGCTTATGTCTTGTTTTAGAATTCCCATCGCATACTCGTACATTCAATGTACTGATGCCATTTTAATGATGTAGATATAGGTAACCAGAATCAACATCCAGCGCATCGTTTTTAGTTGAGCTCCAGAGTTGTTGGTGAGCCTCCTTGCTTCCGGAGGATCCCTTTTATTGCTTTCAGTATTTAGTACATTCGGATGTCGTGGGTCTTGTCCCGACATCCATCTCAGTTATTAGAGGATTCATATATAGTCAGTCAGTTAGTTCATTTGTCACTACTTTATTGGCTTATGTTTTGAGACTATTTCTTGTGTTTAAGGCTTCCGCTGAGTAAGTAAGTCAGGCTAAGAGTTCGCTTGGGACCATCAATAATCATGAGTGTCAGTTCCGCCCAGGGTGTAGACTCGGAGAGTGACAGTTGTGATCGTCTAATAATGATAGAAGACAATAATCAAGAAAGACGGCAATATAGATTTGGTGCAATGGTGAAACTACTTTACTCTCTTAATAATAGTAGTGCGTGATCCTAATTTTGTTGGACCTTCGATGCGGACAAGAGACTTCGAGTGAGGAAAAAAAATATTTAAGAATGAAGGCTTTGATGATATTCTTATTTAATTTTGTTAATTGCTCAGCCGCAATATGCTGTGGGCACAACCATTCTTTTAAAATAAAAAGTATTGTGGTTCAACAAGAGGCACTTTGCATCTGCATATAATCATGACACATTTAATTGCTATATTAACTGCAGCATTAGCTAATTAATTCAGCAAATCATAATGACTTGCACTTTGGTTTAGACAACCCCCTCCCTCCCCCCCCCCCCCCCGAATTCCTGAAAAGGAAATCATACAAACAATTGGAACTGGATGTACAACAATAAATAAGTTTAGAAAGAAAAAAGAGACGTAAAACCACTATTAAAATTGTCCTAATTTTAAAAAAAAAACCTTAATTTTGTAGACGTTCTATTACTCCATAAAAGTATTTGGACCATCTCCAACCCCACTCTATTTTACTCTCCATTCTCTCTATTTGGAGTAAAATAAAAAATGAGCTCTCCAACCACCCTTTTTTTGCACTCTTTATTCTCCATATACAAGAGTTGAATAGTAGTTCTCCAAACTATTCACACTCTCTATTTCACTTTTTCATTATTTTATTATTTTATAATCAACATATTATTTTTCATATAGGGCATGAATTAGATCTCTAATAGTCGTAATTCTTTTTAAATGTAATATAATATTTTAATTCTAAATTAATAATATTTCAATACTTTTATGAGGTAATAGGACGTCCGCAAAGTTAAAGTGTTTTTTTGAAAATTCGGGACAACTTCAGTGGTGACTTTATGTCTTTTCTCAAAAAAACAATAAATTTAATTATTTTTAAAAAATTAGACATATCTATTAAACATGTCATTTATATTATTTTTTAAAATTACTAATTTCACTTATAGTGAACGATGAGGGCATGTTAGTTTTAAAATTTACGTTATTGACTAATGCATAAAAGTTAAAATTATGTGAGTTAATGAGTTGGAAGCCAAGATAAATAGATTCCACTTCACAGGTATCATTCACCTTGCGTGAAGGCTCGCTCAGAACACGTACCAAACTTTTATTAGAAAGGAACATAACAAAGAGGAGTGCTCCACTCCGAAAGAGCAGGAACAGAAAGAGCAGGCGGCATCTCTCGTCGTCTTCACGGAATTTTCATCATCTGAATGAGCGAAAAAAGAGAACCGGACTCTCTTTGTTTCGGGATCAGGAGTCCTTTGGGGTCAAAAGTTCAAATTCGTACTTCCAAATGAAAGATAAATAAACGCATACTTGCTAAGTTTTCATGTTACATTTCAACGTGTACATAAAGATATAAGGCATTCTCCGTGAAATAACTTGTAATGTAAAAGTAAGAAAAGATTACTCTTAGCTTTCTATCAACTGTCAACATTGTCTAAGTTTATAATCGTTAGCCCCTTAACCTTACTAATCCAACAAGCATTTTAGCAATCTCCTTTTTGGTGAAGTATCTTATGAATTATGATTATACTGTTTGAACATCTTGTTGGACACGGTTGATCAATTTTTATGGGCTGAATGAAGCACTCCTACTCCCTAGTGACTACGAAATGGGCTTCTTCATTTGACGGAAAGGGGTCCATTTGGACTTGGGCAAACCACATAAATCCCACTAGTTTATGTGTTAATTATTAAGATTCTCAATAGTTCCAAATATTACTTCATGTACCATATTTTATTCTTAGGATACATGAGTCTGAATCCATGAGATACATGCAGTATCTGTCGAATTTTAAAATTGAGATACAAAATTTATTTATTTAAATTAATTGGTTGGAACTAATTTCCTTAATTAGAGGAGTAATTGAGGATTTTCAAAATACATAGATAATTAATTTCATTTTATTATTCTTTGAAATAGTAAATTCATTAATATTATTAATATAAGATAAAAACATGTATATCTTGGTAATGCAATTTGATTAATTTCAAATTATTACTCTTAAAATAATAAATTCATTAATTTGATGTATATATATCAATATATGATGTATCCAACAAACTAAACACTTAGATACATGAGTGTCCTGCAAGTACATTCATATGTATCATAGAAGTATCTAGCATTAATTTCATGTATTTGTTATAGGTATCTAGTATTAATTTTATGTATCTATATATATATATATAATATTAATTTCATGTATCTTTTATATGTATCTAGTACTAATTTGATGTATCAAGTATCAATTGCATATGTTATATCCAAAAACATGTATCTCGAATATATAGTAAGCATATACATCTAATTATGTGTATCTAAGTGTGGAATATACAAAAAGAAGAAGCATATAGTATTTAAATTTCATACGTTACATCCAAAAACATGTATCTCGAATACATAATAAGCATATACATTTAATTCTGTGTATCTAAAAATGAAATGTAGTTGAATCACATGAATTTAGGAACAAATCACGACTGTAGAGTATCTGTCGTATCATTAATATCATCGTGTTGTTAAAAATCATGTATCCGAAATTTAATGGTGGATACATATTCATGGTCAGACTCCACATTACTAAAAATACAACTCAGATCTTAATTAAGATTACTACTTATTGGATACACATGTTTCAAGGGCTATATCAAAGTAATATTGGTACTACCAAATCCATGTCACGGTAACCAAAGAAAGCCTTAGAAGAACACTAGCAAACAAAAACTCTCTACAATACTCCCTTTGATCCTTTTGCGTTGTGGCATAACATAATCAAAACTAAGATCCATTTCTTCCGGAGACAAACAATCAAGAACCACTCTGAATTAAAGTTTTTTCTGCAGCAGTTACTTTGATTTGATCTAGTTATAAATGAACAATACAGAATAATATTTGGGTTCAGAAGAATTTGTCGACCATGGTGATGATATCTTGAGAAGAAGAGAGTAGATTAGCTATTGTTGAAATGAAATTGTACTATGAAATTCCTGAATCATAAAGGAGGAGACATAAATGAGTGATAACTATGGGAGGGGAGAATTAAGAGATAGTGGTTGATTTGGAGTGAAAGAGTTAATTAAGCAGGTAATTAATCAATCCTAGTTTTAAGGTATGTGGGTATCTAATAATCTAATTGTATCTTCAAATAATATTTTAATATATGGTATAAAATATTAAAAGTGGCAATATATGTAATTGTTTGAAAATAAAGATAATATTAGTATATATAGTAGTAATGTATGTCTAATAAGGTAGTTTATCCTTTGAACTTCTATTCCTTTTTTGTGTTGGTCTTTAATTGTAACAAGTATAAAGATTTCAAAAATCGCTAAGACTAAAAATATAATCAAGTTAAATAACTATAATTTAAAGGGGAGAGAGACGAACGAGATTAAGAGAGGGCAGAGAAAGGAGAGAGATAAATTGTATTTGTATATCTACGAGATAATTGTATATATGTAATTATTATGTAAATATATCATAACTACAACAAATACAATTTATATCAATGAATATAACTGTATCAATATTTGTATCTAAGTTCTAATATTTGTATAATTTTGTGAAGAGAAAAGAGTCTCTATTAGGATATAGTAGTAAGTACGGACTACGGAGTATTTGAATTGGGAAGTGAAGAACAAATTAAAAGTGCGAAAACCAAATTTAGCAAAGGTATGAAGAGAGAAGAGAAACGGCAAAAGCTCCATGAAGGGCTCCTTAGGATGCTCTATCCTCCTCCACCATCACCTCCTTCCCAAGTAATTAATTTTCTCCATCATTACTCTTTTCTTTTTTTCATACTACTTGACTCTAGTATTACAATTGTAGGAAGAAAACAGTGACGACGAACCATTTGACATTCTCGAACAAGGCGATCAAATTCCAGGTTTTCTTGCTAACATGAGTATAATTTTGATTGGCAAATGTATTTGAAGTAATTGGGTATTATGTGCAGATCAACTGGAAAAGGATAGGGGTTCTTCCTCCTCTGGCGACCAGGAGGAGACTGATCATGGGTCTGAGAAGCTCACAAGGGCACAGAGGAAGAGGATTCGACGGAAGAAGCTTAAGGAAGCCTCCTCACGCCGCCAGAATATAATAGGGCCGTTGTTGCCTACTGAAGAGATTGATCGTGAGGATGTAAATGTGAGTACGCCACCACAAGGTGTTCGACAAAATGCCAATGAGACAGGTAGGCTTTGAGGAGTTAGAAAAAAATAATCTCAATAGCTATAGTTTTCTTGTCTAGCTCCTTATATTTCACTTTGAATATAGTAACTTATATCTAATGGAAGCAGGGGCGGAGCCAGAGGGGTGCAAGGGGTCAATTGAACACCCCGTCCCCTTGGTTGAAAAATTATACAATGTAGATAGGGACAAAATGATTTTTTTGCATATATATGAAATTAGTTGAATCTCTTTGACAGGAGAACATTTTTTTTGAATTCCTGGCTCTGCCACTAAATGGAAGTGGAAATAAAATTTTACATCTGTTAGTGTACTTTAACCGTCTATGTATAGAACTTTTAGCTAGTGAAGTGCAGCAATAATTGTGGTTGTCCTTTGTTCAGATGATGCAGATTCTTGCTTGAAACAAAACAAACAAAAACAAAGAAGAATGGCTAAACGTTTGGTTGGTGGCAGCTCAAAATCAACTGGGGATGACAACAAGACTTGAAAGCTCCATTTCTTTGGCCGAGGGATAAGAAAACTTGACTGACTGCTTAAAGAAGGGTCATTGCAAAGCGAAAATTTTGAAATCGGATTTGATACAACTGCTGACAAAAATTTTAAGAGGTTGTGTTATTTTTTCATAACTCTGAGGCATGTTTTTTTTATTTTTGAACTGTGTGTTCATGTTTAGGATACTTATATATAGTTGCAAATGTTCACTTAATAGTAGTTAATTTAATGATTTGTTATCTTCTAGTACTGTAAATTAACTTATATTCATATTATTTTGATGACATATAGCTTAATGAATGTTGGAGAAACCTTGTTTTAAGAATTTTCAGAGTTTGAAGACAACATGTGTGTGGTCAGATACTCAATGAAGTGGATTGAGAATCACGTGGCCTCAAGTTCAAAATGTTATTGGAGGCAAAAACCTTAGAAGGATGGGAAACAGAAAAGAAGCATGGATTTCAATATTTGTAAGTATGAAAACGTTGTTAGTCGAACTAATAATTTTACTCCATAAAGAAGGATGGGAACTTCTGATTCGCTGATCATGGATTACATTATGCACTCTTAGTTTGGGCTATTGGGCATTTATCTGGGCTGTGAATTGTGATTGAAGAACCTTGTGCACACACAATTCGCCCCGCCTGTAAATGGGACAGTTTATTTGGTGGGTGTAAACGGAAAGCCACTCGTAAGATTTGTGAGGCCTTAGGAAGAATTGATCTCCACTGTTCCTTATCTGGTTTTAGGATTTCCATCTACTGTCCGCTATCTTCATCCGAAACCCATCAGCGGAGTCAGAATTTTTTCATTGAAGGGGTTTAAAATATGAAAAGGTAGACATACAAAGAAGTCAAAGGAGCCTCAACATCAGGTTCGAATGAACCATGGGCTCTTACTAGCTCCACTTGTGGCTTTAGCTAATCCAAATTCGACCGCGTGAGGTTCATTTAAAGGAGAAACATATCCTAATAGGATTATTTTTTCCATCTGTAGGACTCAAAATAAAATCTTCTAATTAAGAATGAAGGGATTTTATCATCACCCCAACCCTTACTGGTTCCTTATCTTTCCACCAAAGGAGCAGCTGCCTACTGAAAGTATTAATTTCTCTTAAATGCTTCTCCCACTAGTAGAGCCGTCAATATGGGCTAGGCCTGTTGGGTCAGCCTGGCTTAACCCGGGATTTAATAGGGCTGGACTAAGATTTTTGGAGCTCATTTAAGAAAATGGCTTTTTAGCCCGGCCTGAATAAGTCTGCTGATTTGTGGGGCTGGAGAAATATAGGTAGGGCCGGCCTGTGGGCCAAATAAAAATAATTAAAAAAATATAATATAATATTAAAATTTAAAATTAAAGAGAATCCAAACTCAAAATCTATTTAATATTTAACTAATTGAAACCGCATTTAAATTGCAAATGAAAATGAAGATCTTAAGACAACCTTGCCACAAGCTGATTCAGATATGCTTGATGAAGATGATCATGAAGTGTTGGATACGCCATAGATTTCATGATGTGTTAGATACGCCATAAGTTTCATGATTTTTTTAAGGAGTTTATTTTTAACTTTTTTATGGTTGGAATATTGTCACATTTTTTGTGTTTTAATGTGACAAAACAATTAGGTTAATATTTTTATTTATATATTTATACCTTTATGTGAAAAAACCTTAATAAATATTATAAAGGTAATTTTATTTGTGGATTTGATTAACAAGTAGTAACATTAACATGATTAATATTGTTTTGTCGATATTTATGATAATATTTTAAAATTATAATTTATAATTTATTTTAATAATTATTAAAAAAATATAATTTTAAAAAAAGTGGGCTGGCCCGGCAAGCCTGTAGCCCACGTACTTGTGGGTTGGGCCGACCGTTTTCTGGCCCACACCAAAAATGGGCTAGCCCGGCCTGACCCGTAAAATGTCAAAGCATGTATGGATTAATCCGGATGGGGTGGGCTAGTCCATATTGACAGCTCTACACACTAGTTCACAACTTAAATTTCAATATTACTAAACTTGTATTTAAAAATATCGAAATTAAACTTTGATGCCCAAACAGGCCAAAATTGTGATTTTCTGATATTTACACTAAATAATAAATGCTTGCATATATTTATTTTTTTATCACAAAATCATATTAAGTGATAAAGATAACTATTTTTGGATAGTTGATAAGCAGTTCCACAAGTAAGAGAGGAAGTCAACTCCAGGAATTAAGGATCTTAGCTTAGCGGAAGGTATGGCGTAAACTGCTGAGGCAGATCCTTTTCTTGTTATTTTGTACTAAGAGGTGGGGTGTGCACCCATTTAAGATTGTTTTTCTTCTTATCCCCAAAAATCAATGTTCTATTACTTATCATTAGTCAATAATATGTAACATATTACAATTCTTGTTCCTACTATCGCTAGCCGCCACAAGAAACCGTATTAATTAATATGCACTATTGCTCTTGTGGAAAGTGGAAACTACCACTTTTTCAAATTATCAAGAAAAATCGTCAACAGTAAAGAGCAAAATTATAGGTAAAAATAGTGATAATAATAACAACATCAAACAGTGACCACTTCTGTTACAAGGATTATTATAGTAGTAATAAAGAAAAAAACACAAAACAGAGGGGAAAAAAATATAATTGCTTGGTCTGTTCAAAGGATTATATCTAGAAAAGGAAAAAGTATGAATAAGAAGTTGTCTAGCTCAACGCCAAAAATCATTTTCACAGCCTATGACATAAAACGACCCAACAATTATAGCAGTATATTAAAGTACCGTGAAAAAATAGTGTTCACAAGATTTTCGCCTGTATGATTGAGTTACTCACACAATCTTTTACTTATATGCAGCAACATATTCGAAAATCACAAGAAAAATATTTCTTAAAAAAAGATTGGCGTGAGAATCAAGTCTCCGTCCTCAATTTGCTCAACCCAAAGTCATAAAATGGAAGAATTAAGAAACTATATTACTAAAATTCCTCTTCCCCGTACAAATTTATGTTGCACATGGAAACAGTCTCAGCAGTTCACAAATCTCAACCCCTAGATAGATTAAAAACTCCTACCTATCCTCTTGACATTAAATCTTCTTATTCAATCAGTCCCTGCCCATTTTGTCAATTTTTATTTTTTTATAAACAAAGCAAATGAGGGAATTAATTACAGATCTTAGCTTCCTTATAAGATGCTAGGCCCAACTTTATTATATTACTAAATATTATTCCTTCTCTTTGATTCTACCATATTTTTATTTTCACTAACTTTCCTTACCCAACCCCCCAAATTAAATGACCAGTCAGATTCATCCAGCTCACTAATATACTTATAATACTACCTCCATATTGTTATTTCTTCTACTACTAGTCATACATTAAATTTCACAAAGCATTTAAAGCACACATTGCATTCCTTGTGACTTTGAGACTTTCTCACTCTCTCACTCACATACCATATTTTCAGTATCTTTCTTTTTCATTTACACGGGCCATGGCCCATAACGTGTTTCGGGCCAAACAGCAATCGTCTTCTCCGAGAGACAAATCTCTGTTCGCGGCGGCAATAGTTGCGGTTTTACTTGTCTGTGCTATTTGGTCATTTACTGATCCTTTGCCTAATTTATCAGGGTTGTTATACAGTCAGAGTATTAGTTCACCGGATTATTGCCCACCGGGACGAGAAGCGGTTGACCGGAGTTCCGACCCGCCGGAGAAAACATTCTACGATGAACCGGAACTCAGTTACACTATTAACAAACCAATCAAAAATTGGGACGAAAAGAGAGTTAAGTGGTTGAAGCTTCATCCTTCGTTCGCCGCCGGAAGAGTTAACCGTATGCTCCTCCTCTCAGGATCACAGCCCACTCCATGCAAAAACCCTAGAGGTGATCATTTACTCTTAAGGTTTTTCAAAAACAAAGTTGATTACTGTAGAATCCATGGCTACGATATTTTCTACGGAAACACGTTTTTTCACCCTAAAATGCGTTCTTATTGGGCCAAAATACCGCTTGTTCGGGCCGCCATGCTGGCTCATCCTGAATCCGAGTGGATTCTATGGATTGATTCAGATGCAATTTTCACTGATATGGATTTCAAAATTCCATTACACAAATACAATGACTACAACTTCATCGTCCATGGCTGGCCTGATTTGATTTTTAAGAAGAAAAGCTGGGTCGCTATAAATGCTGGGATTTTTCTTATCCGAAACTGTCAATGGTCTATGGATTTCTTAGATGTTTGGGCTAATATGGGCCCGAAAAGCCCAGAATACAAGCAATGGGGCAAAATCTTACGGACAACTTTCAAGGACAAAACGTTCCCGGAGTCCGACGACCAATCAGCACTGAGCTATTTAATACTGAAAGGAGAACGAAAATGGCGGAGCAAAATTCACGCAATCACTGATTACTCTCTACACGGCTACTGGCTAGGAATAGTAAACAGATTTGACAAAATAACAGAGAATTACACGAAGATAGAGAGAGATGTACCGAAGTTACGGAGGAGACACGCGGAGGCGGTGAGCGACAGCTACGCGGCGGCGAGGGAGCCGTTGTTGGCGGAGGGCGCTGACGGAAAGGGCGGATGGAGGCGGCCATTTATCACGCACTTCACGGGGTGTCAGCCATGTAGTGGGGACCACGCGGCGGAGTACGTGGGTGATTCATGTTGGGTGGGAATGGAACGAGCGTTGAACTTTGCGGATAATCAGGTGCTACGTAACTTCGGATTCATGCATGATGATATCAAAAGTAATTCCCCTGTCTCTCCGTTAAATTTTGATTTTCCAGCTGAAGACAGTGAAGAATTCGTGTGAAAGAAAAAAAATAAAATGAATAACCTCATGTTTTTACTGTAGGATTAAAATGAGGTTACTTAGACACAAGTCCTGTGAAATTTGGATGTTTTTTTAATTCAGTATCAATGTATTTGATAGTTATTGTAATACTCCCTCCGTCCCTTTTTAGTTGTCCACTTTAGAAATGGCACACAGATTAAGGCAACAATGATTAGCACAGTGAAGTTACAATTTTACCCTTATGACAACTTTTCACTTCAAAATTACAACAACTTATTTGAATTCAAGTGAAATAAATTGGAGGGAAACAACATACACTTTTACAATTTTCAAGAAGTGTAAATAAGGGTATAATAGGAAAAAAATTGTTGTCCTTTCTTGATTTGTCAAAATGGACAACTAAATAGGGACAACTAAAAAAGGAAATATGGACAAGTAAATAGGGACGGAGGGAGTAGTAAACAAAGTTTTATAATCCCATACAGAAAAACAATGAGATAAGTTGTCAGTCACTGTGGAGTTTTTTTACCATTCATTTTCTTATTTCATGGTAATTGTCATTTTTAATGTAATGATAAAGCTCTTGTACATTCTACCCTCTTCAAACCTTATTTGTGAAATTCCGAAATTCCAGTTGTTATGTTGTGGTTGATGATGTAAAATAGAAGTGTCTTAATCCGTCTTTATAAGACAACCAATAATTCAAAAGGCAAAAGTCCTCTCATATTTTAAGAATTTATGGACAAGTGTGGACAGTGCTTTCTGGGTCATCATTCAACGTATGATTTTCCAGTTCCAAACGAAAGATGCATTTGACAAAAAATATAAAAAGAGTGGCTTGATTGACTGAGGATCGAGGAAGATAGGGTCATTATATTTATATAAATAGAAAAGAATTAGAAGATTAGCAGCTCCCCTTAATTAGTGGCGTGTTTCATTTTACAGACTTGTCAAAATTGTCACGCTAAAGTTGTGTGACATAACCTAGACCAAACTTCCACCAATCTTTAAAAGGAATTATTTTTTTCTAATTTGTTTGCTTGTATTTTGCTGTTTAACCCTAAATGTTTTCCCCCTTTTTGAGTCCAACTTCACTCGTGCCTTTTCTGCCAATGTTTTTTAGTCACGTTACTCTCTCTAGATAACAACTGACCGAAACTAAAGGACCACAAATGTTTTGTTTGATTCAATCTTCAAAAAAGAATTTGATTATAGAGTTTTCAAGAGATTAATCTTTTTGAAGTGCAACTGATCTTATAAGTAATTTGATTGAATTCATGGGATATTATAACATAAAAAGTTTTTTTTAAAAAAGATACTTGTGCTTGAAGATTTGAGTTCAATTTTCTGTTTCTTATGAGTGGAAACTGGAAAAAGAAAAGGGAAGCCTGTGGTGTCCGCCAGAAATTTATTGACTGAGCAATCCACATTTACCCTTCCTTGGGAATGAAATTACGAGACTCAAAGTGGGTTGGGACTCCCAAAATGGGCTGCAAAAGTAAATAGGAGAATACCGACATACTTTTGAAGTATGAAGCAATAAAACTCTTTCTTCTTGAGCGGGTGAAATGCTTCACGGATATAAAACACAAACGCATAAAACAAGACAATTCATTCATATTGTTTTGAAAGCGATACATTTGAAAGAACCTAGACATATGTTTATAAAATAATGTTATTTGGACTTCATGAGTTTGATAAAACAAACTTAAAATAAAATAGAAGAAATGTCCACTCCATAATTTGTGCAAATCAATCGGCTTGTTTGTTGTCTCTCTCTACAAAACTTGTTCTTTTGTCACAAGAGTGGGGTCAAGTCTTTGACCAAGCCCAACTTTTAAAATTTGCATCAACATCATATTTTCATTTGGATTCTCTCATATTCCATTGATTGCACATGAAGAGGACATAGTTGGGCCTTGTTCTGGCGAACTTTTACCCAAGTCCGATTTATAGAATTGGGCAACCCACTTTCACATCCCCAATGTGGCAGTTGGCTTGAAAATGCAGTGATTGGTAATACGAGAATTAGTAATATGAGGTTGTAATGTAGTTATTAGTAATTCAGAGATTATTTATCGTCCAATAATTTTTATTTGACAAATTAGTATATAATGTATTGTTTAAGCAATTACTTATTTTTTTAAAAACTACAAGCTATTGTGAGAGTTAGTTATGTCATTTTAGAGTTAATTCATCTATTGTTAATACCACTAACTTTACCGCAAATAAAATAATACATTAATTTCATCATAACTTATATATGTATTATTTATGAAAAAAAAAATTACCAACCAAATATCATATAACTTAATGTTGATTTAAATTACCTCAAAACAAGGTAATACAATTTTATGATGAATTTTAGGAAGAATTTAGGAAAAATTATCTAACTACACATTCTTTTTTACCTTATTTTCTATTATTCCTTACCATTTTAAAAAATTACAAAATCCCTCTTATCTCTCAAATTCTCTTATTTCCAGATACATAATTTTCAATCTTCCAACTCCACTGTTTTCTCCATTTTTCATGCCTACAATCACTCCACTATATCACCAGTTACCTTCATCACTCCTTTATTTTGAAATTTAAATATTTTTCTCTCTCCAGTTAATGATTTAAAGTTAATCAAGAGATAGTTCTTCATTTATTTTTTTCTTTCCAATTCTTTTTTATAGGAAAACACGAACAGTAGTCTCAATTTATTGACTATATATGTATCATATGTTTGTTATGTATGTGCAGTACTATTTTATAACTAAATCATTGTTTTATCATATTCATAATTATTATTTTTGTATATGATACATAGCTACGTCAAATTATATGGGCATGATACATAAATACTAATTTATACTACATGTATTGATCTCAAACCAAACAACTTATAAGCAACAATTACATGTTTAATGTATCCCGTAACAATACAATACTTATCAATTTAAACGAGATACATAAATAGTTAATGTATCATGCACTATTTTTTTTAGATATGATACGTAAATTCGAATTTATATTAAATGTATCAATTACATAGCAACTACCACACGGTAATGTATCGATCTCAAATCTAACATCTTATGGGCAATAATTACTTATTTAATGTATCTAGTATAAATACAATACTTATCAATTTAAACGAGGTACATAAATAGTAATGTCTATGCACTAATTTTGTAGATATGATACGTAAATTCGAATTAATATTAAATGTATCAATTACATAGCAACTACCACATGGTAATGTATCGATCTCAAATCTAGCATCTTATGAGCAACAATTATTTTTTTAATGTTTCTAGTAGAAATACAATACTTATCAATTTAAACAAGATACATAAATAGTAAAATGCTAAGTAGAAAAGATATTCATGATGTGTCTTCTCAAAAATTTTGACAATTTTGAATCAAAACTGAAAGGATCTTCAATAAACTAGGAGAGAAAAAATTTGAATGTCAATTTTTTCAACAATTTTGAATCAAAATTGAAAGGATCTTCGATGGACCGGGAGAAGAAAGAATCTTGAATCTCAATTTTTTTGACAATCTTGAATCAAAATTGAAAGTATCTTCGATGAACTTGAAGATTCAAAAGGAAATCGTTTGTCCAACAACAATTCCATCACTTTGTATCCTTTATAACTCACCTTGCTTACCCAAAATTTCGACAAAAGTTTTTGAATCAAATCTGAAAGGTTTCTTCGTTGAACGGGGGGAGCAATTTGAAATTTTGAATTTCTTCATTCTGTTAGGATTTTCCTATGTATGATTGAGAGTAAGAAGAAACGCAAGCGTAATTTACGGGATTTAATAAATTTTCATATTTTATTCCCTTTTTAGCGCAACAAAAAGATTCTTCTTGTATTAGAATTAATGTATCCGGATGGTGACTTATGTATCCGGAAGGTACAAATTTTAAGGGATTATTGTAATTAGAAAAGGAGTAGGGATAAAATGTAATTTACTCTTTATATGAGATTTATGTAAGTTATACTTTTTTGAGCAACTTTCACATATTGCAAACATAAAAATCATATTTGTATGTTATAACTATAGTTTGCATAATTGCGCTCCATAACAAATTTTATGTTTGTTATGGAGCTTTTGATTTGTATAATTCGCTAGATACATCCAATTTTATACAAATTGTTCAGTTTTGTTTAAATTCATTTATACATTGTAATTTGTATAATAAGATCTGTATTTGTATAATTATAAGTGTACGGGACGAATATATATATATATATTTATATTTGTATATACATTTTTCTCTCGCTTTATACAAACATTTTATACCGAAATGAATAAAATGGCTAATTGTATACCCAAAAAGACTAATTATATACCGAATCAGATGGCCAAAAAAATTGGATGTTTGCTGCGAATTACAAATAAAATAAACTATGACTATAGCATTTAATTTGAATTAATAGTTTGTTATTTCATATAATTTTCCCTACTTTTTATGCGGAGATTATACCTCCTCCAACCCAAACCAAATGGCCCTTTAGTGGTTGGACAGGCCCATTGTGCTACAAATGGGGTATATTGCATTATAAACCACAAAACAGGAATGCTAGTTATAGAACTTTTTAATAACTAGATTTGTTTAACGTACTGTTACCTTAATCATTTGCAAGAATATTTTTTTTGGTATTATTCTCTCAGCTTGACATTTTAGCGTCATTTTTTTTTCTCTTGTAATTCTTTCTCATATAACTTCACTTTTTGAGTCGAGAATCTATTGAAAACCGTGTCTCATCTCCCACAAAGATAGTCAGATAGGACTAAAGTATGCGTACATATAACTAAAATTGTGTACTCGCAATTGTTACATATTGTTATTATTATTTACGTTTGCTTCATCACATATATTCCAATGTTTGATTAGAGCCATATTATTTCAAGCATATCGCTAGTAAGAAAATTGTGAGATTAGAGCAGTTATATGCCTTTATGTTTCAATAAAATAATGAGTCTGATTTTTCCTCTGATAATTTTGTCTATTTTGTTTCATAACGTTTATGGTCCCCTCCCCCATTCTCCATTTCTTTAATTGGGTATTAGTCAAAATGTGGCTTTAAAGATGACCCATATCTTATAATCGTAACCAATAATTATCAATTAATAAATTTAATCATCCTAATCTAGTAGTATTACACAATAAAATTGGTCATCATGATTAAGCAGCTGGCGTTACGTTTCTGAGCATAATACCACATGCCACCTTGTGGATATGTTCTTACCAATACAAGTTGCTTTCAACCCTTATATTATTGCTCATTAATTATTTTTCTCACACGTGCCATAGTGTACGGGGATTTAGTGGGATTTGAATTCTCGTCACTAGAGTGAAGGTGCGGACAACTCATCAACTATGCTACATCCGACCGACTATTGTGTTTAAATTCAGTTTTAAAAAAAAAAAAAAAAAGATTCTGGTTACATTGATTTTAGATTCTGAGAAGGTGGAATGATAAATCACTTTTTGATGATGAGTGATATTCAACCGTTGAATCATATCTCAACTAATTTTATATGAGGTTCTAAAGTACGTTAATTTAACTTGTGTCTAATCAAGTAGGATGTATTGCTTAGTGAAATGGAGGAAGTAGATATAAATTATACACACATCTTGTTTTTTATAGAGGGGATTCTTGATTGAAAACACTTGTTGATTTGTCGTTTACACAGATTTATAATTATAATATGGAATAGTGAGTGGGGTTGTAATAATTTTGAGCCTCTTTTGTTTCTTTGATTCTGAACACTATTATGATTTATGAATCAGAAGTGCAAACAGACAAATGACAATGCAAGTATTCTATCCAACGAACAACACATAACCATGCCGGATCTCACTAAAAGATTCGTTTTCCACACACAAGGATTTCTCTATCTTCATTATTAAAAAGGAAAAAACACGTTTTTCGTATCGTCCCTCTTGCTTTTGTCTTTTTAATTAGAAAACAACATAAGACGAATACTTCACTAAATCAGAAAATTAAGTTAAGAAGAAAATATCACAATGTGTCCATTTCATGAGGACTCGGCTTAGGGTGTATAAAATCGAATCGAAAATCGAATCAAACAGCAAATCGAGTCAAAACGAAAAAAAAAACTCGACTAGTGGTTTGGTTTGACTTGATTTGGTATTGGGAAAAAAAACACGATTATATTTGGGTTGGTTTGGTTTTAATTAAAAAAAACTAACCCGACATTATATATATAATTTTAAAATTTTATTTTATACATAAAAATATTTACTTTTGATATAATTTTTAAATATTTCTTATACTTTTTCATTGTTTTTATCTTTTAATATAGTATTTCAAGTTTAAATTGGTCAGAATTCTGAATGGATCAATAAAGATTATGGTTCACAAATGTTGGTAATTATAATAAAGCTTAAATCAAAATCAAATTAATACTAATGCAAAAAGAAAATCAATTCAACACTAAGAATGACAATAATATTGAATATTTGTTCTTTCGTTTTACATTTGTTTAGACAATTAAAATACATAATCTAATTTTAATTTCCTTTAATATTTAATTATTTAATTAATTCTTATTAAACTTATTTTAGCATGACTTAGTACTTTTAAATTATAATCATTTTCATTATGACTTGTTAATTTGCAATATTTGTTTTACGCGATTTCATTATTATATTTTTGTTGGATATTTTATTGTCATTAATCATATCATATTTTGCGTTATTTTCTTAACAAACACCTTAGATAGTTGTATTTTGATAGGACCAAAGAAATATTTGAAGTATAAGTAAATTATATGTTTGTATGAATACTTTATCAGAAAAACCGGAAAAAACTCAAGGTTGAAAAACACGAGTTTTATTGGTTTGATTTGATTTATAAATTTAAAAATTCGACACAGATGATTTTATTTAATATTTAAAAAACCCAATCCAATCCGGTCATGTACACCCATAAGTCTCGGCTCTACCACGAAAAGGATTGTTGTGAAGCTGAGCATTTCCTCAAATGTGAGATACACCGCCCAAATTCAAATTAATCATATTCCAAATACTGCTACCAAACAGGTAAACGAAAAAAAGGAGTCACACTGATCGTAAACTCTTCAATCACAATGTGTTGATTTCATGAACAGATCCATGCTACAAAACACACTACTTCTAATTCTAAATGGAAAGACATGTGACAATGTCCTTTATCAATACAAGTTGCTTTCAACCGTTGCATTTTTGTCCTTCATGAACTTACACTCATTCTCTTATAGAGCAGTTCTTGTGTAAAATAAAAAATAATCTTCTGTCCTAACAATCTGAAAAAAAATTAAACTAATACACTGTTTTAAAAGTAAAAATTTCTTAAAGTGGTGACTATTATATAGTTAAACTCCATATTACAACTAGGTCAATATTACAACATTGCATTTTGCACCATAAAAATACGAAAGCAAACTAGTACAAAATAAGTACATACATGTGTATACATAGAACTTACATAAAAAAAGAAGTATTAGGCAGGAAAGTTAAAAGGAACAGGAAAAACAGAGGAAGAATCAAGCAGATCCTTATGCATATACCCATACTTCCTCAACACCTGATTATCAGCAAAATTCAATGCCTTCTGCATAGCATCAAAGCAAGTTTCACCAGAATACATCTGATTATGATCTCCACTACATGGCTGACACCCTGTGAAATGTGTGATGAACGGCCTTCTCCAACTGTATCTACCATACCCAGCTTCCTTAAGGTGTACTTCCCATACACTAGCATAACTCTCACTCACCCTTTCTGCGTGTCTTCTTCTTAACCTCCCTTCACTTTTCTCTATTGCTAAATACTTGTCGGTGATGTTATCATACGTTCCCACGATTTCAACCCAATACCCCTCGAAGTAATATCCGCCTTCTACGTATATTTTATTACCCCATTTTTCCTTTTCCTTCAACAGTAGATATGCTAGACCTGATTGGTCATCGGATTCCTGGAATATCTTGTCTTTAAAAGTTTTACGTAAGATTTCACCCCATTTATCGTACTCCGGTGACTGTGGCCCCATTTTGGCCCAAGCTTCCATTAAGTCCATGGACCATTGACAGTTCCGAATCAAGAAAACTCCGGCATTGATGCTTGTCCAGCTTTGTTGCTCGTATAATAACTTTTCCCAACCATGAACTACGAAATTATGGTCTTTGTAACGATCCAATGGAAGTTTGAAGTCCATGTCGGTGAAGGCAGCATCTGAATCGACCCACCAGATCCACTCAGTTTCAGGATGAGCTATCATGGCAGCTTTAATTGCCGGCATTTTTGCCCAAAATGACCACATCTTAGGCTGAAGTAAAATGTTATTGTAAAAAATATCGTACCCGTGGATTCTGCAGTAGTCTACTTTGTTCTTGAAGAACCTCAGCAGCAAATGGTCACCTATTGGGTTCTTACACGGCGTCGACTGTGAACCGGAAACCATCAGAATCCGTTCCTCTGCTCCGGGGATGAATGAGGGGTGCAAATTCAGCCATTGCCTTCGTTTCTCGTCCCAGTTCTTAATCGGCTTCTCCATAGTGTAACTCAAACCCGGGTCGTCATAGAAAGTCGGGTCGGGCGGGTCGTACCGTAAATTGAAGCCTAATGAAACCGGGTCTACCGGAGTTTTCAAGGCGGAGTTCTGGTCGGCGGAAGTGGTTAAAAAACTGGGGTCGGCATTTGGACTAGTGCTCATGAAGGACCAAAAGGCCCAGACCACTAGCAAAGCCACAATACTTGCACCAGCAAAGAGAAATCCATCAGAGAAAATAGAAGAGATTTTACTTCTACAATTTTGCTTTGCCATTAATGTGTAAGATGTATGAGTTTGGGGCAACTGATGCGTTACCATTTTATGAGGGAGTGCATACGTTACCCAGGCAAGCTGGCTTTTCGTCTAGTAGCAATAAGAAAGTTGTCACCATCTACTGGACATTGTGTCCAGCTTTGGTTGTGTGTGTTTAAGATAGTTAGAAGAGCAATTTTGGCAGTAACTAAGAAAGCATACAAATTCCGTTTTAATGTAGATAGGAAAATGTGAATTTGGTGACGATAGAAAAGTAGATATGAAGATGAGTGTCGGTGAAGTGTAGTGACTAGAAACAATGGCTGAAGCAAGTGTTTATCACCTCACTAAACTTGCTGTTTTGTGGTGCCATTGACTGGACCTCAGTCGGTTTGGTGCGGCTTTTAATGGGGTTTTCTTGCTTTTGGGGCCCAAATATTGGCTTTATGTGGTGTTTCTGTTGTTTGAGGTGGGCTAAAAAGAGGTGACACGTGGAAAATGTACCGACACTTTAGGCTTTTTTTCAATTTTTTTGATTAATTATTAATAAAATTGCATTAATATGGAACGGGGGATGATGTTCGATACTTCTGGGGGAAATGGAAAGTTTCCCGTTAATTCCGAGTAATTGTCGGCTTTTATTGCAAATCAGGTCTACTTACTACTTTTGATTCCAACTTTAATCACTTTTTTCCAACAGTAATGATGTTAATAGCCACATTAGGGAAGAACATCTTTTCCACCATAGATTGAGTCTGGTGTTTTAACCATTTCATTTTACCGTTTCATTATAATAGATTTCACTTGAGCTGGCTGAGTGTTAAAAGTAAAGATAATATCTCAGTACATTTTATTATTTTCAAACTCTACTTGATATATTATGTTGTTTATTTCTAAAAGCATTTTTTTAAATGACTTTTTAGAAAAGTGCATTTGAAAAAAAATACTAATATATGTTTGACTAATTCATTTGAAAAGTGTTTTTTGATAAATAAAATATGTTTGACTAATTTTTAAAAAAAAATATTTTTGAGAGTAAAGGTACGAAAAATAATGAGTATCAATATTTTTTTTTAAAATGCTTTTAAGCGTAAAGTTACCAAACACTTGATTTTAAAAAAAAAAACATTTTTGACCTCCCAACGACAATACCAAACAGGGTTCTAAAATTGGTTTGAATTTGTTTTTACTTCCACCTAGTGATTTTGATATTAAATTGGCTTTGATTAATTAATCTAAATAGACTATAATCCTCTAGTTGAATCTCACATAGGAACGTGACAGAAGCATATCGATCCTCTTTTATTAGTTCAACCCCTAAAACCCTAACCTTTAACTTCTTCAACCGTGAAATTCACATCCTTTCACCTACAATACCACCAACCACCTCTTATCTCTCACTCTATCAAAATGTTTAATTGTAAAACAAAAATTGATATTATTTGATTTTATTTTTTTAGCTTCTTTTATGAGCCTCATCTGTACTAATGTGTTTCAAGTACAAATAAACTAAGAGAGTTTAGTGGATTGACAAAAAAACTTACTACTTCACGGTGAATTTCAATGATGTTCACATTAACTAGCTTTGATTTTGCGGTATAAACATTGTTATTATTCGATTACCTTCATGTACATTAAGCAAATTATAAAAGGACTTACCAAAAAAATAAGTGATTAACATGGGTGACGATGTTGTGTAACTCAGCGAAACCTATGTACTCCATGTTGCAAATATGTCCAAAGGGTGAGGAGGGTAAATTAAATATATAGATGTTTCTATAAGTGAACTTTTTGATAACTACTGTAAATATTAATTTATAAAATATGTATCGATAAGTTAGTTGATTGACTTTTATATATTCAAAATAACTTTCCTACCTATAATTGGGAAAGTGGAAAAGTATGTCGCATATTCATTAAGATATAATCGGGCTTTAATATGAGTATAGAGAATTGAGTGAAAAAGGAAAAAAAATAATTCCCATTTATAATTGTATCAGCTATTAGCATAAAATAAGTACTACTCCATTAATACTCTGTAGATCTTTGTTTCGATAGGAGAGGAAACTCAAGGCCTACCTATTTATTTCCGCCTTCCCTTTAATTTTCCATGTGACTTCTTATGTTGCGTCAGAAATTCCCCCACATCTTCTTCATTTCATTTTTAAAAAAATTTTGTTCATCCAAATTAAAGTACTAATTTCGAGTATTCTGTTACTTCTATATCCAGAGAATTGAATGACCAGTTTTGTAATTTCGAAGGCATATATATTTGAGGCTAAGCCTTTCCTTTTTTTCTTTATTGTTTTAACGTAACAATGGTAAAATACCTTACCTTTTGTTGCTTCATATCTTAAACAAAACGATGTATGTAAATGTAGCTGCTTGTTTGCTTAAATAAGGTCTTAGGCACATAATTTAGTTTGACGCAAAAGGCATAGTTGAGGAGATGTGATTTTTTGTAACTTTTAAAATAATTTTCTATTATTATTTTAATTAAAAAAATATATTTATATGTATAAGAGATTCAATTGGATATGAATTTCTTTTCCTTTAGAAAAAAATTAGTTTGTTATATGTTGGACTGATTATTTGAAAGAAATTTTGAATAGGAGTTTAAGGTTTGTAAAGTGATTTTTGACCAATTATATAAGTGAATATTCTCCACCCACAATTTCTCTCTTTTTGAAAATAAATAAATTAAATGCATACGCAAACATGAATAATACTTCTCTTTTGATTAATTTTAGCTAGAGTTGGTTCATCACATGGTACTGTGTGAGGGAGGTCTTAGAGTATTGTGTATGTGTTGATCGTTTTTGTTTGACTAAAAACAAAAGAACAAGATGTTTTCTTTGGTAAAAATTATCTTTAATAATTGAATAGACGAAATATTCTCCAAAATCTTTTACATGTAAAAATGAAAATTTCTTGTAACAAGATACATAAAACTAAAAATAAGCTTATAAAAGATTACAAAATAAAATATCTCCCTTCCCTTTCCTTTGTGATTTTCGTTAAGGTATTTCTTGGCAGAAAATTTAATTTGACAATTTAAATATCCAAGAGAACATAATCATCAAGCTCTCGTAGCTCAGTTGGTTAGAGCACCCGTTTAGTAAGCGGGAGGTCTTGAGTTCGACTCTCAACGAGAGCAAAGCAAAACAAGTTTTTAGTGATCAGATTTGCTAATATAAGGTACGTAAAACGCAACTCCTTTTAACTCTTTTTTTTTTAAGATACTTAAATACAGATTATACCAACAAACATAATACACTAGTACATATTGAGCCTGATCATATACTATATTAGAGAATCAATCTTTCTAAATGTTACATTTATTAACGAAGATAATTCAGGCCCTTTTTTGTAAACCATTCTGGGCAAACGAAGCATCTTCTCTACGTTTACATACAATTGAACTACGGATTCTGACTGACTTTTCAGTTCTTGAGTGGTTCTTAGCACCCTTGCAGGTCCCGCCACCTCAGATAAACCAATCCAGCCTGGTAATGAGTATAAGCCCCTGCCACCACGAGTACATGAAATAGTTGGTGGCTGTGGCCAGCAATGTCAAACTTCCCAGGCATCCATCTTTCTGGAACTCTCATGGCATATATCAGCGCTCCAATGCCGTAAAATATGCCCATCAAAAGTTCATATCCAGTCGTATGAAGCGCCTCAGGTTGGTGCCAAAACAAAACCAGCTTGTGTAGAATAGGTACCGCACCTGACAGGCCCATTCCGAAAAATAGAGATGCTCGAATAACTCGATATTCTGGAGTCTGGAACACAGGAAGTAGGGAACCCAAGATTGTGCCAATTCCCAGGAGGGTAATAAATCCCAGGTACAAATTGCAAAAGAAGGGGTAACACATGAAGGAATAATAGACCGGAGGGTAAAATGAAGTTGATATCAGGGCAGCAATACCGGCATAGTCGAACCTCAGCATGATGTATGATAAACGCTCTGAATGGCAAGAAAGTAAATGACATGTGCTGCTTGCTAACAAACAAAACATTGCCCCACCAAGGAAGGCATAGAATGGCCAGCGCGTTATTGGTCTCACCAGCAATGGTGCTAATATATTTGCCACATCTTCCTTTACACTCCGCTGCAAAAATTGAACAATATTGAAATATCAGTTTACTAAGAGGCAGCCTAAGAGTAGCTAGTTGATATGCTATGGCTTAGTGGAAAGAACCACATTAGACTTAACAGTATTACTACTTAACTATGTCAATTATAATAATAAAAGAATTACTACATTACTATGTTTTCAGTTATGATGAATTCATTTACCTTCCTGTATTATGAAAAAATGAGTGGGGTAGCAACCAGCCCAGCCCCATAAGAAAAAATAAATAAATTATAAATACCACAAACACACCCCCAGAAAGAGTAAAAGTAAACCTCAAACCAAAGACAATCTTATCGATAATTATCAGAGCAAGGAAAACTTTAGATTTACATTTTACAGGGTGAAGTATTAAAAGCAGTAATATTATTTGGAAGAATTCTTATATTTAAGTATCAGTAGTAACTCCAACTTTCTAACAGCTTCATGTCCTCTTTTTCTTTCTTTTTCTAAGGATACATGACAGGTCCATGAGATACACACCCCATAATGAACTTGTGAATTCCTAGCCAAGCAAATTCATCTTGATGGCATTTATTACAGATCGAATAGGTATCACAATAAGATGAAATCAAACTAAACAAGCAATACATTGTGTCTGAATAGTTATGGTTATCATTCATACATGTGCAGCCTATGAAGACAGTAACCAGTAGTTGAATAAGACATTCTTACCAGTACACAGACATCTGTATGGTTGCTGTGAGAAAATCGCTCAGGCAGGCAGTTGTTCAGGAGGTCAATAATATGCCAATTAGAGGGGGAACGTAGCAAACCATCTCGCAGTTTGTGCAAATCAGGCATATGCGGCAAAGAAGGAAGACAAGTTAAAAGTTCTGCTTGTAATTTGTGCAAATCAGCCTTCCTCAGCACATCAGGCAGATTCTGTAAGGAATGTAAATCTACAACCTTGGGAACTTTGGTTGCAGTATAAATGGTCAGCGCAAGGAAGAGGAAGAACCCTATCAAATGCCTATAACAAGTGGGAAAATCAAAATCCTGTTCAGTAATCTTTTATAGCTTCTTTTTCTCAATCAGAATGTCAGGATCAGGATAACATAGACAGAACATTTAGCAAAGCAATGAACCAATAACATAAAGGAACCAGCAATAACATGAAATAAGATCTGAAGGTAGTATATTTGTTCACGTGCTACGACAGCAGTTGCCGCTTCAGTAAAGGTTTAGTAAGGAAATTCAAAGAGTAAAACCAAGTGGTCAGCCTAGTACCTAAACACCTTCTAAGGCACAATCATAGAATGCATAGTTTACTATTTGAT